CGTTGTTTGGAGGCGTCCCTAGCTGCCGCAATGTTATTCTCTCCACTGCTGCCTTTCGCACAAAGGAGGCCACGTGGGTCCTCCTCACACAGTTGGGCAGTATATAGTACTTGACGTACAACACTTCGAAGCCAGCAAGGGCTTTGCGCCGCCTTGCCAACCACTTGCCAGCTTATATGGCGCCCGCAGCCCTTAAAAGCAAGTTCATGAGCCATGACTTTCCGCAGCTTCACTGCGCCTAGGACCTACAAACCCCTTCGGGTGCCATTCCTGGCACGTGCAGCGTACAAAGCGGAACTTCGTGCATGCATGAAAGCTTACGTCAACCTGTGCATCAAAGCCGTCACGCCTTTTTATGTGCCGAAATCTAGTTTGGTTTTCCCTCGGCACTGGCACAAGAATTTTTTAATCACACAAACGCCCTGGCACAATGGGCTGCCGGCCATGCTCCCACATGCAAACGCCACATCGTACGCAAGCTTTCCCCTGAAGCGCCAGTGCTTGGCGAACATGTCGCCGCTTCCGGACACCATTTCTGCTGTTCCTTCTCCACTGTGGAGAAGCAAGTTGTTAGTGGATCTATGGGGGATACTTATTTGCCCTCCCAACAACAGGCTCGAATGCAGATCCGTACTGCCTGGGCCGATTGGTGCCGAGCAAATGACTTGCAGGGCACACCCGAAACCTCCCTGAACTTTCCCGCAAGTGCTGGGCAAAGCACAAACAGGAGGTCAACAGCAGATATCACAGCAACGTGGTTGACAGCGTCAAGTGCAAAACACAGGGTGCCATTTGGCATTGTGAAGACCACCAACCGTGCGCGGCATTCTGTTACTGTCCTGTGTTGTACAACAACATGTTGTCCGGCACTTTTGGTAATCGCAATGTTTTTGAGGAGGCCACAGAAGACCTTGGGTTCAGAAAGGCAGCCAAGCGCGCTTTGCAACGACGATACTCTTGGGCTGTTCGATGCACACCAAAAGTCCCCACCGCTTATGTTTTGCTCAAGCGCAAAAAGGACTTCCAAGCAGGAAGCAATAGTGTGCTTTGTGGATGCTTTCATGCGACCGTTGCTTGAAGCCACGGCTCGTTCTCTTTATCGCATCTGCACAATTGCCTTTCCTTCGGCCTTTGCCAAAGGTGGAGGGCGCAACCGAACCGCTGCGTTGTCGCAACTAGGACCTCAGCGGTTTTTTTACCAGCATCTCCAACGCGCAGCTCCAACAAGCATGGAACATCACGAAGGAATTTTACCGCCAAAGACATGGCCTTGACGACGACACAGTTTTCACTGTGGGTTTGAAGGAGCATCAACAAGTCCTTCGTATCTCTCGAGGCAAGCGAAGAAACCGGGCCGCCCGACAAGTCCGAGTCTGGGCCACGGACATTCCCACCATGATTTTGCGTGCTCGTGCCCTGCCGCACTTCATGGTGTCAGTCAACTCCACGGGTCGCCCATGGGCTCGCCCATTTCGCCAGCACTATGTGGCATGGTGGTGGCAGCACAGGAAGAAATTTGGCAACGCACTTTTCGACAGACCTGCTCCGCCACGAATCGCAGCCTTTTGTGTCTGCGATATGATGACAATCGACTATGGATATCAGAGCATTGTGTGGTGGCGACATCACTTTGGAAGATGACTTTTTCGGGTTCACTTTGGACCTGCGGAACCGACGTATCCTGTACAACAGGGTATGCCAAGCATGGGACTTGCCGAGCGTCAAGTCGGTTTCTGCTGAGCCTGTGCTCCTTAGTGACATCTTAGCGTGGGCACATACCATCAAGAAGTGCTCCGTTCCTGAAGTGCAGATGCTTATGGAATGATTTGCGTTATTTGTGGAGCTCGCAAATGAGCAGAGTCTCCCCACATATACCTTTGCTTCAAGTCCAAATTCTGGCGCAAGACCTAGGACAACTGCCAAAACAAAAGTGTACCTCGTAATTAATGCGTTACATGTGTGCCATGCTTGTTTGAGTGAGTCTCAATAGTTTTTCCTGTGTAGGGTTCAAAGTAGCAGCATCATGGCGCGGCGACGCGCCCAATCCAACTGACAAGGCCGAAGAAAGGAGAGCGCGCCTTTCACAATCCCTACTGCAGATTTTGCAAGAGGAGGGATCCCGAAGCGTATCCTCGATGGACAGCTCCTTTCGCAGCATGCTGGCAGACTACACCGAGACCACCGCCCAACGACTTCATGAATTACATGAACGAGTGCAGCGTCTTGAGACTTTTTTGAACGCATGACTATATCGTGATGATGCTTCAGCGAGCTGCCAAAGTGAATGCCAGAGCCTTCCAAGTGTGTTCATGCCTTGCACATTTGTTGTGCGCTTAGTTGTTCATTGGTTCCCGGAATTTCGTGTACTTATGTATTATTTTTTCGTCCTGTAGCGTGATGCAAGCATTGCTTCAAGACATCTTGGAGAGAGTTGGCAGCTACTTTAACACCCTTCAGCTCCAATCTGGGGTCACCGATTGGGCAACCTCTTCGGCTAGTGTTCGTCCTTCCGATTGGGAGGACGTCGCCTACAACGCGCAGGAGGTAGTCAGGGCATGGTGCCTGAAGCCTGGCATCTGCCCAAAGATCCGCATGCATACTCTTCCTCACACGTGGACCGCTTCTCTACAATGCAAACACCATAACATGGAAGTCGCGTCCAGCCTGCTTCCAGGGCCTGGATCAAGCCAATGTTGGCATTGATAACAAGTTCGATGGGCGCGAGTCGGCAACGTCTGGATGGAAACTGGGTTTTTGGCATACATACGACATACGATCTCTCCAGATTAAGGCACCCATCAGCGCGGACTGAGGTTGCAGCGCACAGGATAAAGAGAGAGAGAGAGAGAGAGATAGGTGCCTTCTCAGAGCTGTGCGCACGTTCTGTTGGTGCATAATAATGTTTCCGCAGCCAATTCCCGCCTTGCAGCTTTTCGGTAAGATGGCCGACGAGGTCCGCAGCCGAACTCCCCCACCGGAGCCAGCCTTTTGACGCTGACATGGCGCTCCACACCCGACAGCACGACCTCTGAAGCGCAAGCGCAGTCACCATGTAAGGAGGAATTGGCCCAATTCGTTTTGCTGCTGAGAGCCACTCAACAGCCTGCATTGTCAGAGAGCTAGCCGAAGCCTTCTCAGAAGCCCTTCATTGCATTTGCCGGCCGATAGTTTTAAACGGTCCGATTGACCGATGCAGTCCTCTCGTGTGTGTGTGTGTGTGCGTGTGTTTACACGCCTGTACATGGCGACGAAAACGATGTAAACCCCATGGCGACCATCGAGTGAGACTGTGAGAGATACCGCAGGGAGGTACGGCTTTCTGATGCTACCGCACCTAACGAAGCCGTGCATCAGAGATGGAAGCCAAACCTGACCAGTCATTCGTGCCGAGCTGAAGCGTGTGAACTGCCCACGTTCATGGGGCTAAGGGGGTCACTCCCATTTTCTTATTCGTTTCCATTTTACTTGCAACGGGCGGAGGAGCTGTGAAGGAGTTCCGCCCAACGAAGCTTTCCCCCACACCCCGGGTAAGCGTACCTGCATGTATCCGCCCCGGGCCGCAGTGTGGGCAGTGCGGGATACGTTTTCACCTCCGTTCATCATCCATTTCAGTTTCGTGCAATGTCATTCCTTTGTGTCTGGCATCTTCTGGCATTGCGACGGGCAAGAACCGTAAGGGGTATCTCATTCTGTTGTGTATGCCATTCTTTGTGTTTGGCATACTTGGACTCCTTGATCTAAGTTTCGTTACACAATCATCACCAACATCACCCAGCCAACCGTGAGTGCGAATATCTTTTGAGAAAATGTGATACAGCGGCTATTCGTCACGGTGCCGTCGTGGTCTCGATCGAGGCCTTCCTCGACGAAAGGGATCAGTTCAATTCCGCAATTGGGCGCTTTTATCTTTTTCTTTCTCCCATCCTCCTCTTTCAGCTATAAGGTATTCAGCCTCCCTATGCGAGTCCCAAGGTCCGTGTGCACAGTTCGTCATGTGCAGAGGACGGCATTTACACTTGCTAGGAATGAGCCGGTATGAGAAGGTTACCTCGGTTGGTTTGCCTCGCCTTTTGCCATTCGTTTCTCCGCTCTATTCCGTTCTCGGCCTAGCAGTGTGCAATGCGCAGTTCCGCACATGCCTCTTCCACGGTAAAACGTTTACTTGCTGCTAAGCCGGCAATGCACCGTAAAGGTCTACGGCAGTAAACGGCTAATGCAGCGAAGTGCTAGCACAACTGCCTTAAGCGCAAGTTGTTGGCTTCATTGTTGCGCCCTTTGTGGTTGGGGCCTGTGTTTTCGCAGTGCTTTCAGGGCTTTTGCACTAACATCGCTGTAAGACTAGCCAACCATGAGTGCTAACGTCCTTTGAGAAAGGATGTTTGAGTGCGTGTGTGACACTGCCGCCACAGCGTATGCAGACATGAGCGTCGCATTTTGAGGTGCTGCTGTTGGTATTGATCCTTGCACCTGCAAACCGTCGGCGGGTTGCCGCTTGCACGAGTAGGTACTGAGTGGTGGGTCTTGAATTCTTGTGCATCAAGACTATTGTGATGATTCGTGTGTTTTTGAGGCACTCGGCGAAAGCAGTGGGTTGCCACATGCCCAGACAGATGAATTGGAGCATGTTGGATGCCACGTGCTTCGTTTCAATGCTGTCGCGATCCTGGTCCGAGGCTTCCCACCATCAAAGAAGTGCTACTCGACCTGGCTTCCCTGGTTTATGAGCATGCGTGACTTCGAAACACGCAGAAAAGGAAACGCCATGGTTGGGATTCAGACAGCCATTTTGGCTTGGGTTCCGCACATTCGCTAGTTCAGTTCATAGGAACCGAAAACGTGCCACAATACATGCCATAATTGGGTCTCGTGTGAGTTCGTGTACTTGTGTTGGTAGTAGCTGATGATGTCTTCGGCTCGAGAAAGTGAAGAAGTGACTGAAGCTTTGTAAGGTTGCTAACAGTGCAGAGATCTCTGTCCGAAAATGGACCTTTGGACACGCTATGCTCCCCACCACGCTGAAGGACACTCTTTGGTTCTTTTCGACATATTGCTTATGTCAAAGTTATCAAGCCCGGGACGCCTTTGCTGAATGTCTAGCGTCTGCAGAGCACGAGATTAACAAGGCGCCGGACAAGTCGGACATGTTTGTCACGACGTCCCGTTTATACAAGTGGCATTTGGCCAGGTATTTCTGCAAGCTTCCAATCCGCACCGTGGTCTTGGAGTTGGGAGTCTACCATGGGCATTCCACGGCCGTGTTAGCCGCCATTTTTCAGCAAGTAATTGCCGTGGATATCAACGAGGCATACTTGAAAATAGCCGCGAGTAATGACCGGAATCATTCCAACATAGCCTTCCTCGCTGTTGACTTGATGGCTGCAGGATGGCAGATGTTCGCAAGCAGTGGAGTTCAAGCCGTTGTTGTTGATGCCGATCACCGCTACGAGTATGTGCGTCAAGATGCTTACAACGCCCTGTCATATCTGCGAGAACTTGAATATGTGGTATTCGACGACTTTGGCCACGAGGTTGGTGTCCAGCGAACCGTACGTGAGCTTAAGAGGGACGGCGCCCTTGTGGACTGTCGTGGAATCGGTAACGGCTGGAACGGATCATGGTGGGAATACCAGAATTGGGATGAACAGACTGGCCAACAATTTACCAGTTGGACAAATGAGTCCGAAGGTATCATCTGCAGACGAGGCAACTTTTCGGCTTCGGGCTTGGCACCTGATTTTGTGGACCAGCGCTTCTATGTGTATAAGCAGCCATTGCAACACTTTTGTCCCACTAGTATTCTACGCCTTCTGCCTGGCCACAGGCTCGTCACAAGCTTGTGGGGGGATGGCACGTGGAGAAAGGCTAATGATGGGCGAGATGCTCTTCTTCTGGAGCTGCAGGGACTGTCGGACACGCCGGTCGAACTCCTGTTTAACTCTCCGAGGTCAGCTTTTGTCTTATCGCAGTTCGGGGAGGCGAGAACTGATTGGTTTGGCATCCGGGATCACTTCGTTTTCGAGCCTTTCCAGCGTGCAACACGGCAGTTCGACGAGTGAAGGAGTCTCACGATCAACGCATGATGTGGTGTCTGTTGCAAATGCACTAGCTTCTCGCGCGCTGGCCATACAATCACGCATGTATGCCACAAGCGCGTTTGGTGAGTTCATATTCAGCAGCAGTTTAGGCTTTGGCTTCCCGTGGACAGACTTGTATAGAACGTAGATAACGCAAGAGCTTGGTGTTGTCTTCGAGGCAGTGCGTTTCTCTTGAAGGCATTCCTGAGCGGGCTCTGTACCCCCGATGGTCAGCAGGTATCGGGCATGTCCTCGCCCAGCAACACTCCGGCCATGCCATCAGTCCCGGCAGGGGGCACAGCTGGAGTCCAATAGTTCAGCGCGCCGAAGACAGAATTCCTCGGCTTGCGTGGCTCACCTCGGGCTGCTCGTGTATTGTTCGGCGAGGACTGGGCGCACCCCACTCCCTCACCATCGCTTATGGCCATGAGCCGAGCTTTGTTTGGATCCTGGATGTCGGTTTGGTGTAAATGCAGTGAGCAGGTTCGCATGCCAGATCCCAAAGCCTGGCAAGCTCCACATTTTGGCTCCACGTGGCCAACTTGCACGTACCGTGCCGTGTCATCTCCATGCAGCATCTCCGCGCTGGAGGCTCAATGGGAAATCCTTACCTGGAATGGACCAAAGCGAGTCGTCTCTCCGAACACTCCTTTCTCAGGCTCGGGATGGTCTGACCGCATGTTTGACTGCTTGATCAGATTTGGCAGGTTTGCGCCCCCTTCGTGCAAGGAATGGTGCGGCCTGACGGCAAGTCTCGTCTCCAGTGCAATGCATCCAGAAGCCATCTGACTTACACTTGCCTGCCCCTTTCGCATGTCTGCTTCTATCTGAAGCACTGATCCTCAAAGCCGTTGCAGATGCTGACTCGCATGCTGCATGCCATTACTAGCTTTGGGATACAGTGCTCGGGTCAAATGCAGGCAGATACTCGTAGCAGAGAGAGATGGGCAAAGTGATTCACAGTCTCCGTTCCAACCGATCAAGCCCGGCTTCCTGTTGTCAGGACGGCAGTGACGCAGCCGCAGCAAATCTGAGTTTGGGTTGCTTTCGTTCTGTGAGCTGCTCTTACCTGATGAGTCTTCTTTGGAGCTGGGAAGGTGGAACAACTTGTCCAACAAGAAGTAGAACGCCAGGTCAAGGTTTTGCGCCAGCAGGACCTCCAGCTTTTGACTACTCTCGTGAGGTGTGCGGCCTCGTGCATGATGCAAGGATGGCCATGCTTCCATGAATTGGCCGCGGCGCTTGAGCAGAGAACAGCCGCAACAGCCGCAGCAGCACTCATATGGAAGTCCCTCAGAGGGCATGCCATTCGGAAACTAGGCTCGCAAAATAAAGTCTGTTCGTTCTGCTTGGTTCCACACGGTCTGATGAGGAACCGAGCTTAACCGAGCTTTGCGAGGTCATGTGTTCGCCGCACAAGCTGGCCAGCAAAACCAGAGCACAGGCTTGGATGCCCATTATGGAGAGAGAGAGAACTCAATAAACGCTTTGCGGGGCAGCTTGGCCAGGGGCTGCGGAGACTATGAAGTTGGCCAGCGTAGCATCTCTGCCCCTACGAGAAGAGTCCTCGGAGGCAGTGCATGGCGAAACATCTAGCGACTCTATCGGGTCCTTTCTGTGATGCTCTTACCGTGAGAGGACGAGTGCGAGGCCGATGGGGACCATGGAGGCTTCGGGTTCGAAAGTTGCATGTTAGTTTACGTCGTGCACACAGCATGCACATTTTTCGCTTTCCATCTTTACAGCATAGGCATGCGTCGGAAGCGTCGTTGGGTAACCCCGCATGGTGGGTGATGGAAGGCACAGCAAGACTGCTCGCTCAGGCCACTTCCAAGCACTTTTTGGTGGGAAAGCCCCTACTTCTCATTCGAGGCTGTGCCGCTGCGCTGCCTGCAAAGCTACTAGTTGTATGTTACGTGGGGGTCGACACGCAGGTCATCATCATTCTCAGAGCGGTCTAATGCGACACCTCCATCCGAAATGGATGATGCTGAGCCTCCAGGCGCTGGCACAGGGGAAAGTTTTGCAGAGAAGCAAATAGCAAAATAGCTTAGCTTGCCCTCACTGGAAGAACATCTCATGAACATAGACAGCAATCGGATGTAATCGGACTAATGTCTTGCGGTCTGGGCAGTTGGCCTACGACACAGCAGTCACGCTTAGGTATCATCAGCAGAGTGACGATTGGAAACGTAAACGCCATGCAGGCTTCAGCACGCAAGGATTTTCCGGAGTGGTGCAATCTGCAGATGGCTCTGGTGACCCTCTGTACCTTCAGTGGTCGCGAGGCTGGCCTCTTGCCTTTTCTGCGCTGTACAGTCTTCCGTACGTATGACAGCCTTCCATCTTCTGCGGAAGTTTGATGCGTGCGCACACACACACACACACGCAAACCCTGCAACTAACATGATGACTGCGCAGTCTGTCAACATCTTTGAGGCCAGTCGCATCGAGAGAGACCATCGTTGACACCGACAGTCTCTCCTGTGACTCCACATGTGTCACCCAACGTCGGCGGAAACCAGCGAAGCTTGGTGCAAACGTTTTGTTTGCTTTCCAGTAATCGGGGGAAGGCTGAATGACGTGGTCCCAGCAAGGACAGGGCACGAAGCAAACAGTGGATTGCGGCTTGCTGAGGAGACCAGATTTCTTTCGCTGTGCGTGCAAGGTGTGTTGAATCCACGGGCAAGTGTTCACAGGAAGCACAGTTTCAGTAGCTAAGGTCATCAAGGAGATGCAGGAACCCCGCAGGCCAGGAGAATCTGAACCACGTGCGCAAGCTTCGACTGTATCAACTAGCTGGATGATCTCTGCCAGGCGAAGTCTGCAGTTGTTTGTCGCCACTGGAAGTCGAAAGGCTGGTGCAGACTTGGGGATGAATGTCTATTCCTTAGTGCTCATCGAGATCATGGACAAGCTTCACATGTCGTCTGGATTCAAGGCAAGTTCGCCCATCCTGAACACAAGTGTGGAGCTGGGTCGCAGATGAAGAAGGCAAAGTGTGCAAACGCCTCTTGTACACAACAACTCCACCCAGCTTGCTGCACTTAGCAACTTCCCGTCCCAGAGCCTGCTGCAAATGCAGGAAAAGGATCGATCGGTGACAAGCACCAGCAGTGCATCACTCAATTGCCATTGCAGAGTTCTCGTTGGCCTTTCATTTCAGCGCCGGTATACGAAAGAACATGGTTTTCTGTCGGGAAGTGGTGAGGGTGTTGCGAGAAGACCGCCCGAATAACGCTGTTCACAACTGCTGGACCGTTCCTCCTTCGTTGTATTGTCACGAAAAAAATGTCTAGAAAGGCCGATGACAGACTGTTGCAAAGACTCCAACGGCCACAGAAACATTTGCGGATGGATCTCCGCAGCTGTAATGTTCTTAAGCAAGGGTTTCGAGCCTGGCTGCACTGCGGGCACGGCCGAGAGACAGATGCGAGAGCGGGCAGGGCTCTTCTTGGGTGCAATGCTTCATCATGTGTAAGCTGAGAATCGGAGACATCGCGGCAGAGCCAGGCCTGTTCCGACGGGTTTTGCAGGCTTCAGACGAAGGTTGGTCAGCCCCGTGAGGCAAAGTCGAGCAAGGGCAAGAAAGCAAAATGCACTGGCAAGGATCTCGAGGCCACGTTAATGCAAAAATCATGATGCAGTGAGGCAAGCGTGTTCAACGTTTCGTGCCAGGTCTTGTCAGAATCTCCAGCTCTCACCCCAGGAGCCAGCCTTCAGCCCTGAACATCTCGCATCCCAATTCTTCATGGCCGCAGGATTGGTCCAGGCCCACATCAGCCCATAGCAGGCAGCACCTTACATGTTTATGCTTTTCTGCAGTTTCTTAAGTTTGTCGCTATGCGTACCCGCCTCGGCCGAACCTGCACTCGCACAGGGTGTCAGTGTAGGACTCGGGTGTCCCCACCTCCTCCTTCCCAAACCCCACAACAAGAACAAAAGCGGACTCCACGCATGGGGGGCGTATTACCGCACCAAGCACTCACCGGGTAGGTACGTCGGGGGTTGGTTTGGGTGAGGTCAGTGTTAGGTCGCGGTCCGGCTAGCTTAGGTTGGGTTTCGGGTAGGTCGGGGCTAGGTTCGAGTCAGAGCCAGGTCAGGTGCAGTGGGAGGGTCAGGCAGGTTCAGTTATGTAGGGTTAGGTCGAGTTAGATTAGCGTGGGTTTCGGCAAGGGTTAAGGTTAGCTTGTGCTAGTTTAGGTGGAGTGGTTTGGGTGGTCGGGGTTAGCTCTGTTAGGTGGGGTTATATAGGTTGGGCTTCGGCTAGGCTGGGATGGGTGAGGAGTTGGGACAGGCGCACTGGTGTGGTTGGGTTGGGCAGGGTGTTTCGTTAGTGGGTTCAGGTTAGGTTAGGGCAGGGTCCGGTATGGGTTCGGTCAGGGTTGGGCTCAGTTAGATTATGTGTTCGGGTCTGAAACACGTCAGAGTGGCGCGGGGTTCGGGTTGGGTTGGGTTAGGGTAGGTGAAAGTAGGGGGGCGGCCCGTGAACTGTGAACCGGGTGCTGCGTCACTGAATTTTGGAGGAAAAACCACCTGTGGTCGACTGCCCAAAAATTTCGTTTTCCCGCTGTTCGTTTAATCAATCGATTCAGCCTCAAAGACCTAGCGGCGGGCGGTCGCCTGTGAAGGGGCGAAAGTGCTTTCCCCCCAGTTGTGGTTTTGTCGGGCGGTATGTGTCCGGCCGGACGCTGCTTGACTTGACCAAAAGGAACACCGTGCCTGTAGCTTTTGGCTATCGCCGGTTAGCGAAGTGTTGTTGTTTTAGAGTTGTGGTTGATTTTGGAGGTTCGGTGGAGGGAAAACTCAAAAAGGCACTTGGATCCAATTCACCATCACAGCCCCGGCGGAGTTGGTCAGAAGACCGTACCGCCTTTGAGCCGCTGTCAGGTTGTCTTCCAGCTGGCAGCGAGCCAGCAGCCGCACAGCCGGTTTTTTCGTTGATTCACCACCTCCCGCACCATTGCTTCGTGCTGTTGCTCATATTATGACAATCCTGATTGCAGTTTTTGTCCGGGTTGTATGACGGGAAGCCACATCAAGGAGCTGCGCAAGCTGGGTGAAGCCAAAGGCTCACTGAGCAGCAGAGAGAACAGATTTACATCAACCATCTCCGGACTTTTCCCACGCATGGATTTCATCAATCGAAATAACAGTTGCCAATAGCTCCTACCAACATGTGATGTCAGAGGAGGTTCTGTTCAGTCTCGGAAGCGCCTGAGAGATGAAATCCGGTGGAGTTGGTGAGCATTTGCGGGCGACCGACTGGACGGACGCAGAAGCTTCGATAGAGTCTGCATTGTCACACAGCAGGTCCCGTTTCATGTGTCCTCGAATCGAGCACTCACTTTCCAGGATAGTCCTACCCCGCTGAAGCATGTAACGAACAGGAAGACAGCAGTTGATATGAAGCATGCCATGATTGTCCAAAGGCTGACCACTGTCTCTGTTTTGGTTGCTGATGTTTGGTTTTAAGATGCGACAGCAAATCAAACAGACTGATTGCATGAACAATTGTGTATCACTCCATGGAGAATGGCAGTTCGTGTCTGTTCGGTTTGATCAGTTCTTGGTAATCTGGACAGCGAAGTTCTGCTTCTTTGTTGTTGTTTCATGTGAGGCTTCAAAGGCCTGCAGCGCATGGTTTCTGGCGGGCCATGCTGGCCGAGATGGTTTCGTCTGGCGGTGCAGGCGTGTGTCTGCATGGTTGGGAGGTTCAAGCTAAGACAGCCTTCTGCCTCACCCGACCAAGCCACTCTTGCGACAATGATCTTTCGTAGTCATGTCGCATTGGGAATCAGCCAAACCTGGTATTGTACCTGCAAGACGCAGTGAATGATTCGATTGCTTCTAGTGATCCCGCAAGTAGAACAGGATCGAGCTTGTTAGCTATGAATGCGAAAGAAAGTTGCGCGAACTGCATCAAGCTTTAGTGTGAAGACGCGGACCATGACCCTGCAATGCTTTGTGCCATGGGCAGCACATGACGCCATTTCTCTGTGCCTCTCCGATGCGTGTCAGTTCGGGAAGCTCCTTGCTGAACATGTTCGCAAGCATCCGAGTGTAGCTCACTGGATGGTGCTTGCTGAATCAAAGCCCTGGCACGGTGCGGACAAGTCCCGATTTGGAGAGAAGGCGTTGCCAGCGGTGATGGCCGTAGGGCTGGCAAGCACTACTGGCTCGATGTGGTACAGCAGCACATCTTGTTCAGATGTATTGGGAATACTGTTCCCATCCTCGTCATGGCAGATTTCCATTGTGATGGGTAGTCTCGCCTGCCTTTCGTCCGTATGCTTCCTGCATTGCCAAGCCACAGTGGTCAGCTGCAGAGGAGATCTGAGCACCGACAATCAATGGAGGCTTCTGGCCAGCAGCGCCGCAATATATGCGAATCTTACAGCCATGCCAATCATTGCGCATGCTTGTGCATTTCATCCCCAGTTAAAGCTGCTGTTGCTGATCAACAAGCTGAGCTTTGCTGTTTTTACCTTCCAATTCCGAGACAGCATACGGCGAGCCGGAGGTGACCTGATCAAGACTAGAGCCTTTTCTGACCGGCCGCGCAGGACGCTCTCCCATTTTGTTTGGCAGGAGTTTGAGGTTTGCATCGAAACAGCATGCGCTGCTCTGTTGATTGATGCTCCTGCATCAGCGAACAAGGCAGTTCTGGCAAATGCGTGCAGCAGGGTAAGCGCCACATTCGGGGTCGCATGGTTGTTTTGGTGGCCGAGGGGCTTCTTCGAGATTCCGTGGTTCGGAGCTGCAGAGCTTTTGTGAACAATGGCTAGCAGAGGTAGATGGAATTAGAGTGCTGAAAGTTGCACACCTCAGTGACCTATGCACCCTGCGCTTCTGCACATGATGAGAAAGTCCGGGTAACACGCGAGCGACATTGCCGCTTCAGCACATGCATGACCTGCGCCACATTTTGGGGTTTTTTCGAGGCTCAAAGGACTCAAAGGGGCTAGGGGGACGCAACTTCTTGGTTTCACTGTCAGTCACGGACTCAAGCAATCTCCAGTAGAAGGTGCTGCGGTAGCAGAAGTTAGTTAATCATTCAACTGCCAGATGCGGTATTGGCAGCGCGGCAAAGCACACTCTGATAGCAGTGCGTCTCCCAACCCGTCCTGACACTGAAGGCTGACACGAGCCACAACTCCCGCTCCTTTGGCACTTCCCCTGCTGGTAGTTCGTTTTCATGGCGAGACCGGGACGAGCCATCTGCTCAAGAGTCGTTCGGACATGCGAGCCCTAAACATGCGCGGGTTCGATGCTGTTGCGACCCGAGGGCAATGGAAGCGATTTGGCATTTCCTGGGCTGCACTTCGATTGACAAAGCCGACCGCACTGACAAGGATGCATCGGACATGTGCCGGGCTCGGGTTGGAGTCGATCGATTGGTAAACTTTACACGAACTTTTCCAATCATTTGCCCATCCTTGTGCCCGCTATTGCCAATTGCTCAGATCATGATCATGTTGGCGTTTATCCCTTCTCTGCATGATCCAAGGCAGCTCAGTGCGTTTGAGTTCCGACACTACCGAACAAGTCTGGAGCATAATCAGCAGAAGTTGGTCGAGAGAGTTGTGAACCAATGGGTTGCAATGCTGGTGAAGGCAGCAGGAAGACTGAACTGATTGAGTCATGATGTTTTGGGGTTACATGGTGCGACATCCTTCAAACTGATTCCCTTCAGGGCATCGTGATCAGGGTCAACGGATTTGAGGAGAAGACCTTCCTTGACAAGGATTTGCTGAATTTGGAACTGAGTGGCGAGCTCTATCCGTTGGATGCATTGTGTCGAATGACGATGCGCAAAGAGTCTGACGATGTAGTCATGAATGTCCCATGGATCCTAGATCTTAACTTTGATTTCGAAGAGGGTGAGGCGGTGTTGTCGTTCAGCTTTGAGCAAGAGCGCCATCGGCTTCAATTTGCATTGATGCTGCGGATCTTGCGCACGCGCAATCCTCGCTTGAATCTTGCCGGCACGCTTCTCGTCAAAACATTCCAATTGCCAAGCATGTGAGCGAAAGTCAAATCAGCAAGCCAGATGTAGGAGGGATCTCAAGCTTGATGAATATTTTTGTGTTGCAACATGTTGCAGCAGTCAGCCCTGATTATGTCATTGCCGTTTAATGCCATTTCGTGGCACAATAATGCAGGTTTGAAGTCGTGAATGAAGACGACGATGATGAAGACGACCCGGCAGTGTCGAATTTCAATAGGATTGCCAGGACCTCGGCACAAGCTGCGGCCTGAAGTAGCAGACTGTGTTGCTAAGCGGCGATGCTCAGGTTGGTTCCACGCGGTTTGATGTTCAAGGAACGGGCATCTCGGTCATCATCAGTGTGGGCTCATTGAACATACACCAGCATCTTCGATGCAACAATCGGCACGTCTACTTGGAGTTGTTCTCTGACTACCCGCGAAGGGACAAGTTTCTCTATGCGAAGTCAAGCTACAACAATCTTCCGGGAGCCGTTTTGCTGGGAGAGAATGACATGAAGAACGGTCGGAAGGAGACGGACAACGCTGATCAAGCCGACGGCCGGAAGGGTAACAAGTCGGATCAGCATCTTTGTACTATCAACTTTGACTTGAAAAATGTGAAGCTGAAGATTCCCAAAGTTCCATTTACGGTACATGGCCGCCTGATGGTGAAGGACGACTTCTTTCCTTCAGTTGTGGCGACGTTTGAGCTTCCGATCTCGAAGGCTCATTTACAGGACCTGCGGGAGTCCGCAGAAAAGCAGGCAAAACAGCCAGAAGCTGTGGAAGTGCCTTTGTTTCTCGGTGTCAAGGTTAAGCACATGTCAGAGCCATCGCTGATTGGGGCCAAAACCATGACTGCTATTCCGAGGGCTCACCCGGAGCATGAATCATGAGTAGAAGCAGCAAGACCGTTGAATTGGCAAGGCGATTTGTTGCACGGCGAGCTTTCGATCTCATGCGCCGTGCTTCAAGGGGGGACCTCTTCACTCGTAGACAGATGACTTCGACAAATCTCAACCCTTCGACGCACGCGGAGCCCGAAGGAAACAGGGCTTCAGAAATGCGCAAACCTGCCAGAGGAAAGGACAATGAGAAGGATCCTGGACGTGCCCTGGTTGCCGTCCACGGGATGTCGCAAGAGGAGATTCAGCGCCAACCTGAGTCTTCACCTCATGGACCTCCGCGAAGGTCGCAGCAGTGAAGGTCGCGGCTGGATAATGTACCACCGGATAGATGTAAGACTACTATTCGAAAGCAGGCAGAACAGGGAGACTCTTTCGAGCTCGATATGGACATGTGTGGAGCCAGAGGCATTGTAAATAGTGGAAACGGCAACAGTAAATTCCTTTATGCAGTGTTGTTTACATTAGAGGCCCCGTGGAATCGATCTTGGCCGTGGTGTTACCGTGCTAACTTATAGGCAAAGGCAGGATGGGAGAAACCATTGCAAATGGTTGTTGGCACTTGCTTCAACAGGTATGTTCATTAGATTTACAATGCCGTGGCAGTGATTGGCCGTCTTTCTGTAGCGCAGCGACGCCTCATGGCCAAGAACAAGCCAGGTGCCGCAAGCTCCCGACTCGTCTCTGCTGTGGCATCTCTCCATCTAGGGCAGACTCAGACCCCGGCCCTGCCAGAACTGCAAGCTTGTTAGGATTAGCTGCAAGCGCCAGCCGACATCAGCCGACTTGTGTTTATCGCGTTCACTGACTTGTTGGGTCTCAGCAGGCAAGCGCCGAGAACATCAGTACACTCGCATGGAGCTGAGGCTTCGAAGTTCGAAACATTCGGATGGGCCGCAAGAGATTGCGAGCTTACAGGTGCGTTTTCTAGGCATCCTGGCTTTGTTGGCAGCTGTGAACATTGGGGTCTCGGTGCAACCGCTTCGCCGCACCCTCGTTCCGTCTCTCAGGCTTCGTGACTGAAGAAAACACCAGAAAGAAGCAGACAACCAACAGCGGTCTGGATGCAACCATGTTGTTGCTGGTTGGGGTGCATTCTTTGCAGACGACTCAGCTCGTTGTGCAGCAAAGGCAAAGGCAACAACGAAGCATCAAGAGAAGCAGCTTGGCACACAGTAGTCTTTCACAGCTTGATTTCCATCTCATGGACTGTCGACAGCATTAGTTTGCAGCCTCTCCGCTTTCACACGAACTGACCTCAGCGGTTGATCTTGAGGATTCTTCCAGTGAAGAGGAGGACGACGACGAGGAGGGTGAAGAAGAGGAGGAAGAGGAGGAAGAGGACGACGAGGAAGAGGACGACGAGGAAGCCGAGAGCGGGGAGAGAGGCAGCACGGCATCGTTCGAATAAGACATTGTTTTTCCATTTCTGTGTTTGATTTGCCTCGGAGGCAGTGGGTACCAAGAAAGCTCCAATGCAGGCAGTCAGCAGTCCAGTGCTACAACGTCAACTAGGTAGCGGAAGTCAGTGTCGACAGCGACAATGCCGCAGCCACCACGAGAAGTTTCACCATGTGTAGTAGGTCTTCACTTCCCGCTTTCCCAGCCCCGGGCATGCAAAGCATCGCTTACCGGGGAGGACAGGAGGAAAAGATGGTGCAATCCAGCATGCTGGGGAGCAGCTTTCGCCGTGTACAGCGTGACAATGCGTGCAAGCTTTCTTGGGCTCCGGCTCTGCGACATGCGACACACATTGCGTGACGAGGCTCCAAGCAGTACGAAGAGCACAGGCAGTTCACGAGACAGATCGAGACAGTCGTGTCTTGCAAACAGCTCCGGGGTCAGTGTAACAGCACAAAGATAACTTGCGGCTTGAGCATTGGAGTTGTTATGGGTGCACGACCTTCGGGCGCACGTCTCGGAAGCACCGAAGGTCCCAGTCCAACTGAGGCACGGTTTGCCTGGTTCGCTTCAGAGTGGCATCTAACCGGCTATGTGATATTTCGTGCGCATGCCCCAGGACGATTCAAACGTGGTCCTGGAGGCCTTGTTATGCACCATCACTTGTGGAAGCCTGCGTCAGAAAGCGAGGCAGGATCGGTCTGTGAGCACGGTTGCTTTGTGTTGTGCCTGCAGGTTGTAAACAACTCCGGATTGAGGCCGCCAGTGTGCAGCAGCGGGAAATGTCTGTTCCACGTTGTTTGGAAACCAAGGTTGCACAGATCTCACGTCGACCCTGTGGAGTTTGCACTCTCGAGTCTTACCCGCAAACAAGAGGGTCTTGACCGAGAAAGATTGGCGGCTGGAAGCACACCTGTATAATCACGCGTAATCATATTTTGGCTGAGGCTACCTGAAGTTCTGTCTTCAACACATACTCTGATCCTTCAAGATGTTGGGCAGCAGGAGGCTTGCAGAGCTTAGGGTATGCTCTGCTGAACTGAGACAGCCGCTGGGACGTATGCAATGCTGCGAGGTCTTCATCAACTACACGAGCTGCCAACCTGTTCCAAGTTCGCAGGAGGGGGTTACGTAAGTGCTTGTCACCCAGCTCCTGGCTTTGCGAAATTTGAGCAGTTCACCGAAGACTGTGGTAACATATACGGGGTTCTTGCGGGCGGTAGGAGATGTTAGGTTTGGTGATTTGATGACTGATGCCACGCTTCACTACACGCACTGCGCTCGGGGTGCTTCCGCGGCTACCGCTGTGGTGCAGTGCACATGTTCGACAAACAACAGGTTCTTTCCACGACTGCGGTCACATTCCGGAAAATGCCGACGTCATCGTGAAAACCATTAAAGTACTTTGGTGCTGCACGGTTTTTGGGTACCCAAAGGAGAACTCCTAGGTAGTGTTCCACCGCCTGGGCTCGATGCCAGCATTATATTCCTTTGTTCCTATGCAAGGACGGCATCCTGCGCAATCCTCACTTGACAGAGAAGTGCATCGCCGCCCCGGTGGTCCTTTCAATCTATATCGCAATTGCAGATGGTGGACTGCGAGCGTTTGTACTCGGGGGTGCCCACCGTGTGGACATCGCTGCGACTTTCAAGCGATTGCCAGAGCATGCTGACGAGTTGCGAAAGTTGGCGAACCGACAGGGTTCATTGGGATTCTGCTCTTGGGAACAACGGCTTTCTCCAAGGAGTGCAGTGCTGGCTCTTGCAGAACCAGTGCCGGGCATATCGCAGCAGCGAGCCGCACTTTTAGATGCTCTTCAAGGAGCCCGGGCAGGGGCCGCTGGGGCCGGCGCCGGATACGAAAGTCAGCTGAGGAACCAAGTCGGTTCCACAACTCTGCAGTCGGACATGCGGGAACCCGCAGCACAACAAGCTGCAAAGAGTACATTGACAGAACCCGGCGATTCGAAGGTCTCCTCAAACCTGTGTTTCGTGCCGCATTGGCCAGTACGTACGTGCGATTGAATGTGTTGTTGCTGTCGCGAGTTGGTGGAGATTCGCACCGTAAGGTTGCCGTTCAAATGGGCCGCCAGTCCTTGCCACTCGGATTGTCACGTGACCGCATGAGTGCTTGCGGGCCCGCTTGCACAGTACTCGCTGGGCCTGGGAGGTTGGCAGCTGCATCCGAGGACTCTAGCGGCGACACAGCACAGGCAGATGGCCAAGAGCGGACTTCAAACCAGATGGCTCCAGTTCAGAAGGCCTCCACAGTGGAAGGCATTGTGCCTAGCGGATTTGCTTTCCAAGCAAATCAAAAGGCAGATTCAGTGCAAGACTGCATGTCAATGCAAAAGCCAGAGCTAGGCAAGCCTTCGGAAGAATCCTCAAGTGCCTCCTTGGCGCCAACTGGACTTCAGCCCAGCAGCGCTCGCGTGCCCGAGTGTGACAACGAGTTTCATGCAGCAGTGTTTTGGCCGAACTGCATGCTTCTCTAGATTCGATTTCGATGTGTCTTTATGATGATTGTTTCGTGACCTTTCGAGAAAGTTGTTGCATGCCAGATTGGGCTCGAATCAGGGGGTAGACCGCCGCAAGTGCATTGATACGTTTGTCAGCTCAGGAAGCTGGCCGAGCTGTCACTGCCGCAGCCCAAAAGGCACCCTTCGAAGCGGTAATCGCAAGTTGTTAGTTTTTAAAGTTTTATCACTAAGCAACAAAGCGGCCGCCAGGATGCCGGCAGGTCCCGAACCGGTGCGCTGGCTTTACAAGTGCAGCAGGCAATGAAGGAGAGGCAGGAGAAGGAGGAAGAAGAAAGACGTTTGCAGAGGGAAGAGGAACAACTGAAGGCCGGCCGATCATTGAATTTCCTTCACAGCCCGACTCCTGACACCCAGGCGAACTGTTCCGCGGTCATCGCAACGCAAGACAGCGAATATCAAAGGCTTGTCTTAGTTCTTTGTATTTCTTTGTGACTATTCGGACCACTGGAGAGTTGGATTGCGTGCATTTGACGAGGAGCCTTTTGCATGATCAAGTCCGAGATCTACAGAAGGACAGCAGGGAACTCGTGTAGCTGCGCTGTCTTCTCGAGACCAATACTTGGACACGCGCTTGTGCCCAGTTCCTCTTTATGCTCCCTTTTCTCTTCCTGCCAGGTCCGACCATGTACAACTGTCATGGTGGTTGCGGCGGCGTTTGTGGTCATGAGACAGCCCCAGGGAGCAAGAACGATGGACAAAAAGACTGAAGAACAGGAAGAGCAAAGAATGACAGAAAAATGTCCACGACCAAGATAAGGGAAGATGCCACTGATGGCGGAAAGGCAGAAAGAACCGGGAACATACTGACAATTGCGTAAAAACGAGGCATGAATAGGTTTTGCACGACTTGGAGTATAGTAACAAACCGAGTATGTTATAGCACTTCGAACATCAACGACAATCTGACGGTAACATCGAGCACGCCGGCAGCATGACTAGATCCAGCAATGCTAGCTGAGGCCATGATCACAGCAAACCAATACAAAGAAGTGTCCAACAGCCGATAACCGCAAACCATGCAACACATTAGCAAGGTTGTTGTGTAGTACAACGCAGCAAGAAGAGCCGTTATCTTGGTCGTGGTAGTCATAGTAGTCACAAGGACCATCGTCCCAAGCAGCATAGCACTAGTTAGTACTGTAGCAGTGGTGCTGGTGGTGGTGGTGGTGGTGATACTGGTGGTGGTAGCAGTAGTGGTCGTGGTGGCGTTGCAGGTGGTAGGTGGTGGTGGTGGAGCTGGTAGTTAGCAAGCAGTAGCAGTAGTAGTAGTAGTA